TCAGTTCTGCTTAGGCTCTATGATTACCTTAGTTTAACTTAATAAATCTAAGACAAATTTGGGAAGATTTTAGATAAAATAAGTATGAAGTGAAATCACAGTTTAAAATGTAATAGGCAGCACTACTTAGCCTTCCTTACCAATAATTTCAAGATTCATATTCACCACTTCGAGTCAAGTTTTCAGAAATCAAAACCACTTTTACCTTCAGAGGTTACGGGTTATCGCTTACTTATTTTAAGACAGCTGCCTCATTGCTTTTCCAGTCTGACTATTTATTCTCTTTCTACAGTGTTACTGATATTCACATGAAATGTTATACAAGACTGCAGTTATAACTCCACTTTATTAGTCACTCCAAAGACCTAACAAGAAATTCTAAGACAACAGACGCCACAATGACATGGACAGCAGATTCAATAACAAGATACTTCACTCAAAACTGCCAACCAGCCCTCAGCAGGCTGAGGAATGAGCTTGTTAAAAACAGTACTCTCCGCTGCGGCACCACTATTGAGAGTGATTATGATCAGTACAAGACTGCAATACAGAACTTAAGAAACCACACTGTCTCCATTTTTGGCCTCGGCCTCTGGCTTACCTAACAAAACTAAGCGTGAGGTCAGGTCACCTTCAAACTCCTAAGGGTCCTAAGAAGGAAAAAGAGGCATACAGCTGAACTGCTTATTTGCTCTCAGGTGTTCTTCAACAAAATAAAACGGGGACTTGGGTACATGGTGACAATGTGCAGTGCAGAAACTATTTCTTCTCTGCAAAGAAGTTGGTTCTTTCTTTCTAGTGACACCAACTCCTCTTTAGCTGACCAGTCTCCCAGATGCCTTTATATGCATCCTGTTAATTAAATCCTTGTGTTCTCAGCACCCATGGCAAGCCATGTCTTCCTGCAGTGCCTGACAGCTTCTCTGAGCAAGCACTCCAAATGTTAGGTTGCATCTCATCCATTGATTTCCTTTGTCAGAAACATGACAGACAAAATCCCGGCAAGTTAAGACAAGGACCTAGATGGAGTCTTCCAAGGTCAGGATCCCTGTCTAGGCAGAGTTCCCCCAGCTGCAGGAAGAAGAAAGACTAACCACTGCATTGGTGATACACCTTTTTTCATACACATCTTCCCTCTAGGATACCCTCTAACAATACCTGTCTTGTTTTCTGTTGGCAAACTTGGCTGGCTAACATATTTCGTCTCTCTAATCACTAGCAACCATAGGCCATTAAGAAATTCTCGTACAGCCAAAGAAACCTGCACTCTGGACAAAAGTATATAAGCATAATTAACCTATAACCTGTTTTAAATTTTAGGTCACCAGTAGAGGTGGTCCTTCTGAACTAATATGTACTTAACATGCAAAAAGGGGAAAAAGGGATATAGCAAATTATTTAGTGTTCCAAAAAATTTCAAAAGGCTCCCTACATAGCAACATGTTCACTCCTATCGAATGCAATTATAATGATGTGTGTGGGTTAATTCCAACACTTTGTATTCAAGAAATTCTTCTGTTTCTGGAAGAAAAGCTTACCAGAAGGCCACATAATTTTAAAAAATGCAGAATGGACTATTTGGCAGAGATCTAAAAGAGAACCCAGATTCACTGTGCCTCACTCTTCAAAATCATTTTTCCTCACAGTCACAAGTCAAACCAGCATCTCCCACCAAACTTCCAGATTAGAATGAAGGAAAGTTACTATGATGGACAGACAATTAATATGTAAGTCCATAATAATTTTTTTGAAAATAAGAATCAGTAATTCAAACTAATTCAATTTTTCACAAAGAAAATTCAGATATGATGATTCGGGCAGCTGGTGCTTACTGTAAAACCACTTCATTATTGGGAGTTCTTTCCTGTAACTGCAGGAGGCTGCAATCTCCACTATCAATGTAGAACCTGTTTACCCTGTGTCTCATTTTTTGTTTCCATACTGAACCGAAAACCACAGCAGGAGATAGGAATTATTATGCTTGGCACATGACTAACAATGGCATATCATTAAGTTTTGATGACTGTCTCAAAGGAAAGTAGTTTTCAAGTCTGAACTTGGGGGACAGGCAGGGGACTAAGCAACAGATCATGGGGACTTTGATCACATCTCAGGTGGATCAAAGGCTCACCTGATACTTTTTTAAAAGTCTCTCTGGGCATCCTGGAGACAAAGGTAGAAGAGACCAGGAGATACACTCTAAAAGCAGATAGTGTAATCGATTGCAAGGCAGGTCACAGTAAATGGAAACTGGCTTCACCAGATGTAAGAAATAAGCTATGATTTGAAGAAAAGTTTGGAGTAAAAGCAAAGTACTGAATTCCCCACAGCACACAGATTTTGACAACAAGTACAGTCTGGAAGAAATGGCAGGAAAATGTGTTGTTGTCATTATTATTTGGTTTATCTTGCTTTCTTAGAAGAGTCAAAAGGAAGACCGATTGCATTTTAAAGGCATCACAAGGACTCAAGCATCCAGCCTGTGCAAAAATTCTATTCATTTTCCAAATGCAGTAACACAGATCTTCTCTGGCAACAAAACCTCCAGACACTACAAAAACAGGCAGATACATTTCCTTGCCCCCCTGCCTGGCAGTCATCAGCTTCTGGATTTGGTAACAGAGCAAAGAAATCCCAGTAGAATTTCATCCTCCAGCATCTAAACCCTGTGTACTTTTGAATAGATAAGCAATGGCCAGTCAGAAATTGAGATTTGCATTCTTCAGAAAAACAAAGTCTTGTGGACTGCTGTTTCTCTGTGCTTCCATCTGTCTACGGTTTCTGCTCCATCCTTCCTTTCTGGCTTGCATACAGCTCTAGTTTCTGCAACCACCTGTGTCAACGCAGCCAATGCAAATACTACTGGCATGTGGTGCCAACTGCCCCAGTGCGTGTAAAACCTATCTGGACGGCAAATACAGACTTTGACAGGATTTTCTTCCCATTACCCCTCCTACTGTTGGCACATGAGACAGGATATTTGCTGAGGATGATGCTTTGGTATACCTTAAAATAGGTATCACCACATAGGTACAGCAGCATTTATATATTAGGGGCAGTTTATGCTCCTCATTTTGAAATTACTATAACAAAAAGACGCATACAAATTGTCCTGTTATCTGAGCTGTGCCTCAGAAAGACAGAAATTCATCTGCTAAAGATATCTGCTGCAGCTCTATTTCAGAAAATGAGTCTGCACATGAGATTGAGGCCCAAGTACATTTGAAGGATATTTACTAAGTTTACTTGCCCTTCAAGAGCAGTAAGAGGGAATTAAGGGTTATCAGGAGGAGATAATAATGGGTACTTGTGCAGCCCTGACGGACAATGCTACTACAGAAAACCATATTAATGCCATAAAATCTTCACTAAGGAAGAATTACTTCTACTCAACACCACTAACTTAAAATATACAAGACTAACACAACAATTCATAACCGAATCTAAACCAATAGAAAGCAGTTAAAATTCAAATAATTAAAATACTTCATTTTCTCTGCCAACCATGTATGTACCTAGACAAATGACAGATGAAAATAAGAGCTCGTCACTCTTATAATATTTCAACATTTACTTCTGAAATTAAATGAACAGAAGGAACATATTCTCTTCATTTAAAAAAAAATTAAAAAAAGCTTTTACTTTCAAGACATTTATCTTTTTTATCAGGACTACAAATTAAACTGAAAACGTATCTTAAGTTCAGGGAAAAGAGCAGCAAAGGACAGCAAGCCAAATTACAGACATGAATTACTCCACAGAGTGCTGATATTCTTCTAATGTAATTTTCCACTAAGTTTTACTGAAATTTAAATTGCATTACAGGTCTTGACTAGACACACCAATTCTACATTCAATAAATGTAAAGAACATAGGCTTTCTGACAATTCAAAAGTTCATAGTACATTTTGCTGGGATAAAGTTCCAGGCCAAAACTTGCTGTCTTTCTTCACATTGAGGCTACATTCATTATAAAATGTTACTCTTTTGAAGGTAACAGTTAAATAAAAACTGTTCAGATGGAACAAAAAACGTAGACTAACTTTCAAAGCAGGGAACCGTTCCATTCACTGGGTAACTAATACCTGTGGAAGAATGATGTAAAACACCACTTATAAACATGCTAAGAAGTCACACATGGTACTCTGAAGACATCTTGCTTCCACTCCTCTGGCTTTCCCAGGCCAGCAGATGCAGTAGAGTTTCCATGAGCATAATTCTGCTAATACACTTCTCAGAGAATGAGTCTCACATTGTTGACAAGGAGAACAGTACATTTCCTGAGACGCAGAAAGCAGAGAAAGGATCTGGCTATTCTGACCGAAGTGTCAAACAGTGATTTGGGCTATGCTCCGGCTGGGAATTCAACTCCAGACAGACCAGGAAATATCTACTATCTAAGCAAACTGCACCTTCGGATGTAACATGAAGTACAGAACAAATGCCCAATTAGTCATCATGAAGATCAAAATTATGTAGCTCTGTTAAAGTATTGAGTTCTACTCTTTCAGACCATGTTACAGATACAACATGAAAGGATAAACAAGTGGTGTGCCAGAAGTCACAGCAGTACAGTGGGAACAAATCACTCCCAAGTCCTACTTCACATTGACTTGCTCTCACATGCTGACATTTACGGTATGCAAACACCAACATGCAGCACAGTGCTTTGCTGCCTTTTAGAAGCAGTCCTTTTCAAAGCTAAAAGAAACTCTCTTTCCAATGTATTGTTTCTTGATAAGAATATAAAAGAAAAAGTAACTAGGCTCAGCACAAGACTATACCTATACAAAACCAGGTACAAAAATTTTGATTTTTAGCTGAAAATTTCCAACACACTCCTCTCCGGATAAAGTGGCTGAAAGAAAGCAAGCTGTTTCAACATAACAATATAACAATAAGCGCGCCAGTTTGTGTGTGTATGGGTGGGTGGAAGTAGTGCTATTAATATGCTATCAAATAAAAGGTCTAGTTTATATGGTCAGTATGGTTCTACTCACTGTATTAGGTACATATGGCAATCCATAAACTTTCTCCTGTGTTTCCTTTAAAATTTCAGTGGTTGACATTTTTAGAGGATGTTTCCCATGGTAGATTTGGTCCAAGGCAGCATAAAATACCTAAAACAAAAAAAAAATACATGCATGTTTTTGGCACATAGTGTTGGCATTTGATAATCTAAAAAGACAAACAGAAAAGAACGGGAGAGAGAGAGAGAATAGGGAGAGGGAAGAGTTTAAATACATAGTTTTGTAAATTTTCTCTTTTTAGTATAACATACAAGGAGAGGAACAGGTTCTTGGAGTACACCAATCACTACCATCAAGACCCATCATAAATCCGTGTTTAGATCACCGAGAACACTAAATGCAGTACTAAATTGCTTGCATTTTAAAATAAAATTAAGACCTGTCCCTAAAGCCCTCCAGTGATTCTCCTTTTCAGAAAGAATATTTTAAAATAGATTTAATAAAAAGACTTAAAGTTGAGTGGACACAGAAAAATAAGCTATTCCAAGACATGTTCATGCAGCCATGAAAACACATCAACCTGCAGAGCAAGCTATGGCCCAGGTAGTGAACATAAGAAGCTGCACATGGAGCTGCTGATGCTCCTGAGTTTCTGCTAGAGCACTCGAACGGTGTAGTCCTAAGGCAGATGCTTCCTTTGGTTTAGCTCTCACAACCAGAGCAGTAAATTGCTGCAGTGCAAGCTTAGCCTGAGATCTCGCTACACCATGAGGGTGCTTTACCACAGAGGTAAGAGCTGGTTCATAGGCAATTTTTGTGCTGTGAACTACAGCAGAACACAGATATGTGTTTTAATATGAAGATTTCCTATTCTGTGGAAGTCCAGGGAAGATAGAAGATGACACCCATTGCTGTGCAACACAAGATATTTTTGAGAAGTTTGGTGGATCCAGACATTTAAGCCAAAGAGTTCAGGTCAGGCTATCCTGCGGTAGGCACATTTCATAGGAAAATTGAATGGTGGGGAGCCTCAGAAAAACTTTTGCGCAAGAGATGAAGCAAATAATTTGGCTAGAGATTCAGGCCCAGTCATACTCCCAGGGATACTGCAATACCATTCCCAATGAGATAAACACAGTGTTTTAGGAATTATAACCACAAAATGCAGAAATTTTATGGAGAAAAAGTCATTTGGAGGCATTCTCTACCCATGGAGAATGGATGGTTTATGCAATCTGAAAAACACAATCCCCTCAACATGTGAAAAGAGTCGTTATTATGAAATTTGGGTACAGAAACATTTTTAACTCTCTAATTATTTACTAGAATTCAACATTGGGACCGGGGGGAGGAGGCTGGATACAAGACATAGACCAAAAATGTGACTGTTTCTAAAGGACCATATTCCTTCTGTTTGAATAAGCTGCCTTCTAACATACAGAATCTTGATAAATCCTTTGGCGGTGTTTTCACAAATGATAAATGTGACAACTGATTTTTTTTCAAGAAAAACTGAGGGTTATAAGGAGAGGGGTTAAGAAGCCATGACTTGCAGGAACTGCTCCTGAATTTCCTGCTTGCTTCCTACATGGCAATGAGATGAAAATAGGTCAATAAGACCTACGCTTGCAGAATCAGCCACTAATGACATTGCAAGTTTTGTGTCCCAGACAGCAACATTGAGCAAGAGATGCAAGCACTTAACATCGCCCATCTACAAACTGAGAGCAGGCAGCAAGTACCTGTTCAGAGGATAACTCCATGAAAACACTGCACCAAATGGCAAACAATAATAAGTACTTTATTTTTTCAAACCAAACTTTGCAGGGGTATTTAAATTTTTCCATCATTATATTGATAACATGAAAAACTAAAAATCTAAAAAAAACCCTATACTAGATTGTATAAACTACAATATTTTTTACTCTTATCTTAGAAGAAAAAGAAGCCTTTGCTTGTTCTTTTCATCATCAGAGCTGGTCTCTAGAATCCCAGTTCTTTTTTTTTAAACAAAGTTTAACAAAAGCTACAGCATTTATGGTAGCAATGGTGACTGAGAATATGACCAACAGTAAGTACCATGAATAGATTTGGAAATCACCTGAAATAATAGTCCTAGAAAACTCACTTTCTTCTGTGACCCTAGGCTTTCATGACTCTGCAGGAGTCATTTCACACCAACTTTCCTCTCCTTTCCAAAACACCCAAACCAAAGATCAGGAACCTCAGCATCCTGCTTCACCCCAGCCTTGATCCTCTTATTTTCTGTCTCTCAGCTTTGTTAGGACCTGTTTGCAGTTGCTCTTCTGTGTTCTTCACAAGATGGAGTAGACCGCACTGCAGTGGACCTTCTCTAACGTAAAACTTGGAGTCAAGCAGTTTGAAGTCAGAGAGCTGGAGCAAAAGCTCAACTCACAGCCAGGCAGTGAGGAAACCGGAGCTGAAGGCCAGTGAAAGGGACTGCCTAAAGATCAATGTGGTAATACAGAAATGAGTCACCAAAGCCAGATATAATCTTTCCTCCGATCCTGGCATATGTAAAGTGTGGGAAGAAAGCTATGAGCCAGGCCACCTGGACAGCATAGTTAAAAAAACCCCATCCCTGAAAATAAACTTGGATGAACTTTATATCCATAAGCACTCCCATCTACAAACCACAGTTCTGTGTGTTTACACAGACCTTTGAAATGGGAAAAGGAGACACATCCCAGGACCACGGGATTTTAGGTGATACTGCTGAGGAGCATGTTAACACATGCAGTAGCTAGAAGATGATTTCTAATGTCAGTAAAACACATTTCCCAAAAGACCCAAAAATATAAAAAGGCCAAAGTTATCTATCTTTATACTGTCTCTCTATTTTGCACTGACATTGGTATTTACTAGTTTCACTTGATTCCAGTTCTTTCTAGCTCTTTGTCTGCTTAACAGTAGTAGTATGTAAACAGTTACACATTTTCCAGTGAAGTTACTACTGACTGAAAGACTCTGGGACTTAATCTGCATGGCAAAAGCCTTATGAGAAGATGTATGGATTCTCCTATCTTTCCTCCTGAGTAACTGATTAGATGAGCTGGAAGAAAATGCAGAGGTATTATAGTTACGATGAAAAAACAGCATCGTTTCGTATTTTCACATGCTGATAGACTTATTTTCTGAACAGATCAAAAAGAAAACCTTAGGCATTTTCCTCACTGCTGGAAATTTTTTTTCAATTTTTCTTTCTTTTTTAAAGATCAAATACAGCTTTCATAGCATTTAGTCACCAATACAGAATATACTCTTTGCAAAGCCTGAAGGAAAGGTATTAGAGTCATCATTCACAGTTTTTTTCAGGTATATACATTAGTAGTACATATATACTTTGGCACCTGCAGATTGAAATGCATATTTTTCTTCAGTGAATTATTATACTTTTAAATCTGCATGAGCAACAATACACACTTCTACAAAGGAACTTTGAATTTGCCATGTAATCAACTTCTCTGGGACACTTTTTCTGAAGTAATAAACTGAATGGCTCTGCCAGCCAGTCTCTGAACTGAGTGCATACTTCTGCGGGCATTGCAATTGGAATCTCCAAAAACATGGTGCTTGAAGTAGGAAATGAACAATATTATTCAGCACGGCATCGTGGTCGTTTGGCATGGGTTGAAACTGGTTGAACTTTAGTTACACAAGAGTAATTTGAGGGCAAGCAGCTTGCTTAATCACCGCATCACTGCCAGCACCAGTCAATCTTTAGGCACCCACAGGAATTTGAGCCCACCAGAAGTGGGTGTTCTCTCCCCAGTTTTAAAGCTTTGGGGTCTGGAGCCACCTGGGACAGACCCTACAGAGACCCCAGGAGCAGCTGAGGGCCAGCAGCGGCAGAAGAGATTGCACAGCCCATCCCATGGGACCAATGCAATGACGACTCCTTGACTTACTTCTGGAGCACGCCGTCTCCCCTGACACAGGGCAGGGAGGCTGTGTCACTTGTTAATACACCAGTGGCTTAAAGTGTTCTTGGTATTCAAGTCCATTTAGCCCCTACATTGCCAATTTGATCTCAACCCTTCGCAGGATTATAGCAAGTACATATGCAAAGTAGAAGGGAAATCTGTCAGATCTACATATAGCTGGTATGGACACAGCAGAAAAGAATAGGTGCGTGTGAAAGCCCTTGATCATCACTTTGGTGGTTCCTAGTCTGTACATTGGCAAATTATTCTGTGTTAGTAGACTTCATGAATAGAGATCCACCACTAAGCATTTTCAGTATAAATTTTATTTTAATCCAGAATTTGTTTTTTTCCAAAAACACCCTCTAATATGTATTAATTATATTCTTGTCCACATTCTTTTCTGGTTTCTCAGCTATGAGAACCATTCAGAGTCAGAAGCGTGCGTTTTAAAATCAGAACTGAACAGAGGGTGCAGTTATTTTCATGTTACAGAGGTATAGCCACAGGTAGAAACCTCCTTTTTCACACCTCCTGCACAGTCAACACTGACAATCAGTGCTGCACTGAAAGCATAATTCAAAAATCCATGCAATATAACCAACGAAAAAAAAATCTATACACTGAAAACAGTGTTAAGTCTGGTTTTGATTAGTGTAACTGACGCTTAGACATTTACAGGTCCACACAGCAGCATTCTGATTAGTTTTAAATCACTTTAAATAACTGCACAGAGCACACTGCAAATATTTAAGTTGCTTTTTTAAAAATCAACTTCAGTTAACCAGCACAACTCATTTTTCTAGACAGAGTTGCAATCATTTGGGCACTTTTCAAAGTGAAGAATTACAAAGATCTGATCTTTAAATTTGTTTCTATCTACATCTCAAAGATAATGACTACCCGTTATTAAGGTACTAGCAGAGTTATCTCACCTAAACACTAGGTCAACTGTAAAAAGAAAAATTATACGGCTTAAGGCAAAAGAAAGAAGAAAATGAAATTACAAAAATCACACAGCAGAAGCTTGTAGCATACTAAAGTGCAGCCAAATTCTCACTGTAAAAAAACTTGGCTGGATGCGAATGCTACTGTTCAAATGTGAGAACTGCTGTTGCAGGACTCAAAACCCCTAAATATGCATTTTAAACAGAATCCCTATTTCCTTTACTTCCTTTGAAGAAAAGCAACATTGATTGTTTATGGAAATGACCGATTAATCACATCTACCCACAGAAAATAAAGGTTTATGAATTTAATTACTGCTCCTAACACTATGAGAGAGAAGTTGTACAGCTTTATAGCTCAGCCACCAATTTTGATGGCAATAACAAGTTGCCACTTTATTATGGCAGCTGCAGAAGACAAGGAGCTCAAATCATATTCTAGTAAATAAACACAGCAGGGCATAAGCAATCCAGGAGGTTTCTGGAATATGCTGACGATAACTTCCTTCTCCAAGGGACAGAGACGCCAACGAGGAGAGGTGCCATGCTGGACCTTGTTCTCACCAACAAGGAGGGGCTGGTGAGGAAAGTGAAGCTCAAGGGCAGCCTTTACTGCCATGACCATGCAGTGGTGGAGTTCAAGATCCTGGGGGAAGCAAGGAGGGTGGAAGCAAGGGCAGGAAGCCTGGGAGGAACACAGAGAAGTTGTCCAAGCAGTCAGGGATGAGGTTAGATAAGCCAAAGGCCTGCTAGAATTAAATTTGACCAGGGATGTCAAAGGCAACAAGAAAAGCTTCTATAGGTGCATCAGCGATAAAAGGAAGACTAGGGAAAAAGTGGGCCTTCTCTGGAAGGAAACAGGAGACCTGGTTACCCAGGATATGGAGAAGGCTGAGGTACTTAACTTTTTTTGCCTCAGTCTTCACTGGCAAGGGCTCTAGCCACACCTCCCAAGTTGCAGAAGATAAAGTCAGGGACTGGGAGAATGAAGAACCACCACTAGGAGAAGATAAGGTTCAAGACCATCTAAGGAACCTGAAGGTGCACAAGTCCATGAGACCTCACAAGGTGTGTCCACGGGTCCTGAGGGAACTGGCGGATGAAGTGGCCAAGCCACTATCCATCATACTTGAGAAGTCATGGAAGTCTGGTGAAGTTCCCACTGACTGGAAAAGGGGAAACATAACCCCCATTATTAAAAAAGGAAAAAAAAAAAGAAGACCTGGGGAACTACAGGCAGGTCAGTCTCACCTCTGCCCAGCACAATCATGGAGCAGATCCTCCTGGAAACTATGCTCAGGCACATGGAAAGTAAGGAGCTGACTGGTGACAGCCAACACGGCTTCACTAGGGGCAAATCCTGCCTGACAAATTTGGTGGCTTTCTACAACAAGGTTACAGTGATGGTGGATAAGGGAAGAGCAACTTATGTCATCTACCTGGACTTGTGCAAAGCATTTGACACTGTCCTGCACGATATCCTTGTCTTTAAATTGGAGAGACATGGACTTGATGGAGGGACTACTCAGTAGATAAGGAATTAGCTGGATGGTCACACTCAAAGAGTTGTGGTCAACGGCTCAATGTCCAAGTGGAGAACGGTGACGAGTGGCGTTCCTCAGGGGTTGGTACTGGGACCGGCACTGTTCAGCATCTTTGTCGATGACATGGACAGTGGGATCGAGTGCACCCTCAGCAAGTTTGCCCATGACACCAAGCTGTGTGGTGTGGTCGACATGCTGGAGGGAAAGGATGCCATCCAGAGGGACCTTGACAGGCTGGAGAGGTGGGCCTGTGCGAACTGCATGAAGTTCAACAAGGCCAAATGCAAGGTCCTGCACATGGGTCAGGGCAATCCCAAGCACAACTACAGGCTGGGCAAGGAATGGATTGAGAGCAGCCCTGAGGAGAAGCACTTGGGGGTGTTGGTGGACAACGAGCTCAACATGAGTCAGCAATGTGCACTTGCAGCCCAGAAAGACAACTGTATTCTGGGCTGCATCAAAAGAGGTGTGACCAGCAGGTCGAGGGAGGGGATCCTGCCCCTCCACTCCACTCTCACA